GACAAACCGCAAGAATCATATTACCTATACTCTTTCCTGTAATATATAGTTAATTAAATACGCCTTCGCCCATTTAGTTCTACTAAATTGTAAGCAAATTGTAAATGTCGACATACTAAAACTCTATTAACAACTCGAACCGACTTGACCACGTAGCTCAGTTGGCAGAACATTGACTAGTATCCCAAAGGTTGCGGGTTCGACTCCCACCGTGGCCAAGCAAACTTTTCAGCTTGCCCGCTGTGGATGCATACTCAGAGTAACGTCACAAATATCATACTAAAACTCCGTTTTCTGACCATCAGAATTCTGTCAAAACTTCCCCAAAGTCCAGGAAATGGCATTTCAGAGAATCTAAATTTAAAAATTTCCTCGGGCCTTCGGCCCTCGTTCCCAGCCCTAAATAAAAAAGAGCTCCCTACTAATATGTCTTTGCGTAAACTATGTGTATTTTGTTTGTAAATTGCATCTTCATTTTCCGGATAGCAAACATCTTCGTGCATGGCTTCGTATGCCATGAAATATTCGGAAATTTTCTTCGTCATTCGGAAATTTTTGGCCTACACCCCCCAACTATACATGCTAGCTACGGCCCTGTCTGTCTAACGCCGGATATTTTTACTCTGTCTAACGCCAGACAATTTCACTTGTCAAGGGGAGAGCAAATGACATATACGCCGGAAATTACAATGATAAAATATCACAATAGAAGCATAGTGATTGTGTATGGAGTACATTTAGTCATTAATATGTATATTTAACTATTATATACATGTTTGCTTAATAACTAATTAATCTAGGTTTTAACTTTTATCATGGTATTGTGTGAAAATTATAGTCTTGAATGACTGTAAAGATGTATCAATACTCTATTATATCGGCTACTTTGTATACATGTTTACGGCAGTGACGACTAAATGCCTTCCTTTGATAAACCCCACTGACAAAACATCTTTGGCTTCTGTTGGAATGATATGACTGAATCCAGCTTAATTCATACCCAAAGAAAGACAATACTGTAGCTTACTCATTAAAATAGCGGGATTGACCATATCGAAACTTTTTTAAGGTCCACAAACTCAGCTACATATATCTTTCCTTCTATGTTACTAAGTAAATTAATAGTATCTTTATGCCAAGCGGCGGTGAATGTGGAATGGAAAGACCTAAAGCCCGACTTTTGGTTAGACAAAAGGTTATTGTCGCTTAAAAATTAATAAAACTGGTTAAAACAATTTTCTCTGTCACAGACAAAACAGAAATTGGCCTACAATCATTTACATCAGATGTTTTCCCGCTCCTGAAAATGGGGATTACTTTAGCAGCAGTTATTCGAAAGGAGATTACTGAAGCTAATCATATAGAGGGCAAAATTACTCAAATATGATTGGCTAATGATGAGGGCATTTTTTTAATTCAGGGCAAAATTACTTGTACTTGATAGGCTGAGACGCAAGCGCGGGAAGTTTCTTGTTTTATTGAAATAGCAATAAAAACAATGGCTTCTCGCTTTGTCGTCGCGGATAATGATGTTATTGAAGAATTAAAAACTTATTAACTTACAAGTAAATTTTCGCGACTCGGGCAATTTGTGAAACTTTGAAAACACGTGTGAAATTAAACCTTAATTTTACTCGGCCCCATGCGATTACCTATACTAATACAAAATACCATGTAGTGTTACGAATGTTTATATACTTTAGCAGACTTTAAGTCATCGGAAAAGATACCGATTGATAAGGAGTCTCTCATAGGGTTATTGAGACACCCTTGGTCATGCTACATGGTATTTTGTTGCCCGACCCAAGGGATCACAAAATTGCTCTGAGCAATTTGCAAGCGACGCGAACAAATTGCAAGTTGAAATTCACAAAAGATTTTTAAACGAAGCCTCCGGTTGGACTATTATAGCGAAAAGGAAGCCAATCAGATAGTCCGAGCAACTGGATTGGAGCTTCCCTTTTTTATAGTCCAATCAGACACTTTGTTTAAAAATCTTTTGTGAATTTCAACTTACAATTTGTTTTCGTCGGTTAGCACTATTTTCCACCCAGCAAACTGACCTGTGGTTATGTAGCTAACCCAAACCCTACCCTTACTCTAACCCGTAACACCGAAATAATAAAAAAATCCAAAAAGAAACGACTTTAGACAATCGATAGGGCGATTTGCTGGATGGAAAATAGTGCTAACCGTTCTTTGGTCGCTTGCAAATTGCTCAGAGCAATCTGCCTATCAAAATTGCAATATTGTGGTGTCGACAACATTGCAATGTTGTTCGCAAGAGAACATCCGGTGTGACTGTAATAACCGCATACTTTTAAAAGTCTTAATTATTTCATCAGTGTGGTTAATAAAGTTGTTGCAAAGGATAAGTTGTCAAATGTCGTGAAATTGAACAAAATTTGATGATATAAAATGGTTTTGATGGGCGATCCGATAGCTTTTGGTTAAAAATTACGACAGCTACTTTATCGCGAATGGTAGTAAAGGCGACTTCAGATCACCACTGATGAATACACTAGATTGGAGCGTCTAAACACGTTGAGTCGTGAATACAATCCGACTGGACATTGTATTCATTTATATAAACCAGAGTAGCGAGCGAAAACCGAAACGTGACTGATATACCTGGTTGCCGTAATGCCGTAACTCACAAACTTTTCCTCTTTTTATTGTTTAGAAAACTTAGAAATGATGGGCGGCCATGTTGATAATATTGATTTTCACATATCCTTATGTAAATTTGAGAAAAAAACGAACAAAAAGTGCAAGGGACAAATATTGCAAGAAATAGAACATGCTATCTGTGCTATGCTAAATAGCAATGGAGGAAAAGTTGTGTTACATAACGAATGCGACTGCGAGAAATGCAAATCTAATAACGACGTCCCAGTAAAAGGTTCCCTTCCCTCTCGGATGTCATTGGTGATTCGAATACTGGAACAACATTTGATACATATCATTGGACCGATCCAGACCGTCTCGAAAATGACTTTCAAAGAAGATAAAGAAACCGTACACATTTTAGTGGGAAAAACGGATTCTTTAGTAACAACTAATTATAATCTTTATTTACCAAGTCAATCACAAGTTATATCGTTACCTTCTTGGGAACCACTAGAGAAAGTCAAGACTGCTATCATCAATAGAAAACTTGGCTCGAAACCAGTTCAACGTGCACCACAGGAATTTCGTAAAGATGAAACTTTTCGTTTTTATGAAAGCAAAATATGTCAATTTAAGTATCTAAAAGCAGTTGCATCAGAACATACCACGCTAGCAGATCGTATGACTGGTAAAGCCAATAAATTGAGTTGCTATGTTTCAGCATTTGCCAACCGTAACGGAGGTCATATCTACTATGGTATCACTGATGATGGAGTTGTTGAAGGAGAGTTGATTCCTAATGAGGAGGACATCATTGAAATAACAAATAAAGTTGAGGAAGTCATCGAAGAAATGATCTGGCCTGAGCATATAGGTCAACCAGAACTGAGAGAATACTGGGATATATTATTTCAGCCAGTGGTCGATGAAAACTCCAAGCGTATCCCATTCACTTATGTGATCATGATCTATATCGCTGCTTGTCCGGGTGGTGTGTTTACTGAGAAACCAGAATGTTATGAAATGGTGAAAGGGAAAGTTGAGAAGTTGCCGCTCGCCACTTGGAGGGAAAGAACATTACAACCATTTGGGTTGCGTAGAACACTGGATACGGGTATTGATGAAATACAAGCTCGAGAGGCAATTCATGATCCGCAATATCGTGGTAGTCGGCGTGAACGAGCAGGTTACCAAGATCGCATGGAACAAGGTGAGCAACAAGATTACACAGGACAGCAAGAACAGATAGACCATCAAACAGATCTGAAACCTTCTAAGAACCCAAGGCATACGGAACTGCGAAAGGGGGGCACTGGACATGTTGATATGAGTGCCATTGTTAGTGGTACTGCACTGAGCATTCCTACACAAGAAATTGGTAACGATCCACTGAAGAAAACGAACGAACCAAGGTCACAACCTGATACGGATAAACGTAAAGAGGTAAGAACCTTAGCATTTATTGGACTGTTTAGATATTAATTCCACTTTTTAATAAGCAGTTGGCATTGCCCCTTTGGTCCATAAGCGTTCCGAAGTTTTCTTTATCCACAAAAAAATTTCGATAAAATTTTGGTAGTAATGCAAACTTGTTCTCCTCGGAACAATTATACTGGGTAGGGTATAGCCGTATAGGGTTTTTATATAAGTAAAGATTGGGTTTAAAATGGTGGAAATTACATTTTCCCACATTTTGTTGTTGCGTAAAAATTTTATCGATAGAATCTAACGCACGTGAACATACCAAAGTTGGATTAACTTTTTTATGGACTTTGTGTAAGTAAGTAGTTAAGGATGCTCCCTACAGTAGCATGCGGGATGTTTGCGGGACCAATACGTGCCTATACGTGGACCTCACGCAACCGCAAGATCAAAACAGTGAACTCTGTTGATACTGGAACGATAACTGTAGGTAAACATGCCCATACGTGCCCGAAGCCAAGATGAAGCAAACGGCGCTTAGGTTGCCACTACGTTATATCAGCATTGGTTGCAAATCTCATTTCTTTAGGCGAATTTATCTTTGTTTTTCCGGAGTCTAGTCTGTCCTGACGCTTTAAATTTGCTTTTGTTGGCATTAACCATTTTTGCCAGTTACTATTTGTGAAATTTCACAAAAAATTAAAATTCTTTGCAATTCTTTGATAGTTTACTGTAGCTATCCATATTTTTTTGTTTTATGTGAAAAATATTGCTTAAGCACTCAAATCATGACATGTAAATTTTTTGTTTTTGCTTATTTGCCATATCACATTTTTTTAAAAATTCATTTGCTGTTTGAATCGTAGTATAAAGATTAATGCCCAGCATAACGTACGCAAAAGAGCCATATAGACAATAATATAGACATAAAATTTATTTAAGAAGTACTAACGTTTCGTCTTTAACCTAAGACATCTTCAGAGTAAATGAATATAGTATGACAATGAGTTACAAATATGAATAAATTACTATTTACAATATCAAATTACAGGGTAATAGGGATAACAGAGGAGTGAGAGAGGAATGGAGCTACCTTGCTTATTCAAAGTAGGTTTGAGCTTTGAGATGAGAAGACTTTCACGGACGAGAAGTTCATCTGGAGAGGAACAGGATGATAAGATCTTAAAATCATCAAGAGAAGCAGCATGACCTGAGTGGCTCAGATGGGAAAAGATGCTCGTAAGTTGAGGACTGCTACTCGTCTTACCAGTTAAGGCAGAAATACCCAGGTGTTCAGAGACTCGTGTATGTAGATGGCGGACCGTTTGGCCCACATACGACGCGGAACAGCATCGACACTTAAAAGAATAAACTACACAAGACCTCAAAGCATTGGAAATTTTGTCCTTAAGCATGAAGAAATTGGACAAACGTAGAGTGGGACGAAAAACGATTCTGATGTTTATATGTGGGAAAGCTACAGAGCAAGGGCGTTGAATTTGGGTACGGATTTGGAGAGAGTGTGTTCCGGTATATGGAAGACAAAAGTATACCACTTTCCTTGATACAGAATGGATTAATTCCTTGGGTTGAAAGGTTTTATGAAGAAAGAGTCGAACACAACAATCAAAAAGACGAGAAGGATAACAGAACGGTTGAGGATTTTTCTAAAAAACTCAATCTGAGCATGAAAATTCTCATATTTAGAGCAAATATTGAGCAAATTATTATTTCCTTTAACTCCCCCCCCCCCCCCCCCCCCCCCCCCCCC